CCTCTTGCCGCCCTGCATTTTTTTTCTTTACCCCCATTATAAAAATATTAAAAAACACGGTGACATCCCCACTCCTTGTCTAAGGCCTACTTTTTTGGGAAAAAAATTTCCCTCTTCCCCATCTCTAACTTGAGCCTACTTTCTCGTAAAAACTCTTACGCTTTCATAACCTACCCCTTACCAACCTTGCAACACTGCCACATTGTCCCCCTTTCCCCTGTCATACGCCTTTTCCCAAAAAAAATGCCACAAAACCCCTTTTGCCTTTTCTAAATTACGGTTTTCCCTTTTTGGGTTTCCTGTAAACACCTGGGCCAACCCCCCCTCCTTTTTAAAGCCCCCTTTTTCCTTTTCTATTCCCATTTCCGCTTACTCTTAATTCTTTTAATAAACTTACCCCTCATTACGGTACATCAAAGATTTCCCCCTTTTAATTTTTGCCCTCTTATCCCCCTTTGGTTTAACAAAAAGGAAAGAGGCTTTGTTTTAGGGCCCTTACCCTCTTCCATTCATTTATTAAAAATTGCACCCCCTCAAAACCTTTTTCCCCCCCTTTTTTTTCCCCCCCCCTTGAAAATTCTTAACCCAATTTTGAAATTTTTCCTTTCCCAAAAATTTTTTTTTCCACCCCAATTTTTTTTAAAAATATTTCGAATTTAAAACTTTTTGAAAAAATTTAAAAACTCCCCTTTTTTAAAAAAAAGGGTTTCAAAAGGGTTAAAAAAAATTTTTTTTTATTAAAAAAACGTTTTCCCCCCTTTTACCCCTTTTTAAAAAAATTTTAAAAATTCCCCCTTTTTAACCCCCCCTGCCCAAAAACCCCTCACCCTTTTTTATTTTAAATTTTTCCCCCCCCATGTTTTCAACCAAGTACATAAACCCTAAATATTATATTAAACTTTTTCCCCGTATCCTCTACCACCCAATAAAAAACATTATTATTTCGGTAACAATTTAGTAATCTGGTACCAAAAGTAAAAATGAGCGGAGCATAATTGCTCCTTTTATTGGCTGGTTACATTTAAGTATACCTATGATCCATAATTACTCGTTTCATTACAATTGCACAAACTCGCAAATGATGCCCCTGCATTTACGTCGGTTGATATCATGGCTGCCTTCCTTGTCTTTACCCGGTCACCAAGCGTAAATGGGTACATGGTTAGTCACTTCTGGGCGAGCTGGATGGCCTTTGCCCGAATGCTCAGCTCCAAGCGCTTTCTTGTAATGCAAATTGGGCGTGGCGTATACGCTTTTAGATGAGAATATAAGTTATTTATATTTTATTTATTATATATATATATATGTTTATATATTATGTATTTTATTTATATATATATATATATATATATTATATATTATGTTTAATATATTATATATATATGTATATATGTATTATATATATATATATTTGTGGATTGTATAGTGTTATTTAAAATATAAAAGTTTTTATAATTTTTATGTTTAAAGATATTTTTTAATGTTATTTGTAAAAATATAGATTTGTAAAAAATTTATTTGTTTATTTTATAGTATATTTATTTTTGCTACATAGTAATTTTGTGTTAGTATTATATAAAAGTCGTGATATTTTTTTGTGTAGGTTGATGTTGGTTTATTGATTTAAATTTTGTTTTTATGATGTTTATGTTTTATTTAATATATGAAATTTGGTATAAGTCTATTAAAATATATATATTGTTATATATATTTTTTAATATATATTATATATATATATTATATATGATATATATATATATATATGTATTTATATATATATAATATATTATATATGTATATAATATATAGTATATATTATATACTATATGTATATATATTATAAATATATATATGTAATATATATATATGATATATAATGTATATATATACTATATATATGTATATGATATTATATTATATATGTCAGAATTATAAGTATATATATATATATATCTGTAATATATATATGTATATATAATATATTTATGTATATATATTATGTATTTATATATATATAATAATAATGTAATATAATATTTATTAATTGAGTTTATAATATATTTTATATATATATATAAGTTATATATATATATATTAATAAATATTATATATGGTTTATATCATAATATATATGTATTGATATTATTTTTTAAGATATATATATATATAATATATTATATATATATTTATATGTATATATAAATTATTATATATAATATATATGTATATTTATATATGTATATGATGTATATAATATTATTATATATATATATATGTATTATATATTTATATAGTATATTATATATGTTATATATAATATATGTATATATATTATATATATTATATACATAATATATATATTATATGGATAATTAATTTATTATATATATGTATATATGATATATTATACCATATATATATTTAATCTATATATATATATAGTAATATAGTATCATATAGCAATCATGTATATATTATATATAATCATATTGTATATATATATATATAATTATATGTACTATTATATATATATGATATATAATATATTTATATATTAATTATATATGTATATATATATATATAATTATATATATAGAATATTGATATATATATATATATATATACTGTGATAAATAATATATATATTATATTTATGTTATATATATATATTTGTGTATATGTATATATATATATATATGGTGATATGTATATAATATATATATATATGATGAGTTATGACCTTATATAGTATATATATATATATTATATATAGTTTATATATAATATAGTAGTATATATAGTTGAAATTTATATATATATATATAGTATTTATGTTATTATATTATTATATATATAGTTTATATATATATATTAATATATATTGTTATATATATATAATATATATATATATATATATATATATATTATATATATATATATAATATATATTAATATATAATATATTATATATGGAGCAAGGCTATTTTAATTTTAGTTATGAATGCATCCACGAGCCCCTATACGGAGATATTGGAACCAGCCTAGCTTTATCTAGTGTAATTAGTAGTGAGCAGTGATATGTGGCTAGTGCCTAGTACACTTGGTATATATGAGGGGTATTGTAATATGCATCTGAGATTAGGTCACGGACACTCCAAATAGTGGATAGGCCTGTCACCATATGGAATACCGGGGGGTATAAAATATTAATATATATATATATATATATATTAAAATATATATAAATATAGTATTATAATATATATGTATATATAATATATATATAATATATATATATATATTATATATATTACGTAAAAAGTATTTTAAAATATGAAAAAACCCTTAAAAATTAGAGAAATTAAGTTTCGTGATATACATTATCAGTACTATAAAGCGCTTGGATTTTCTCTATTTTATTTTAGAATGGTTGTTTTTGATATATATATATATTATATATTATATATTAAATTATATTAAATTATATATATTTTTATTTTATATATATATATATATAATTTATAAAATTTTGTAATAAATAAATTTATTTTAATATATATATATATAAATATATTATTTTATATATTATAAATAATATGTGTTTATATAATATATAAAAATATATATATATATATAATATAAACAAATATAATATAATATGTTATTTTTATAATATTAATAATATAATTAATATTAATATATATATATATTATATAAATTTTAAATAATTATATTTATATAATATAATATAATATATATATATGTAATATTTATATAAAATATATAATATATATATATATATTATTTTTAAAAAATATATTTTTATTTATATATATATAAATTTTTTATATATATATTATATAATTATTATAATATTTGTGTATATTAATATATATATATATATATAATTATATATATATATTTTAAAATTAATATATTTATTAAAAATTTTAAATATATAATATATATATAATATATAAATAATATATATTAATATATAAATATATTTTAAAATATATATATTTATATATAATTATTATAAAATATATATATAAAAAATATATATATTATATATATAATATATATATTATATATATATATATATAATATTAGGAATATAAATCGAGCGAAACGGCGATTTTGAAGAGGTTTATTTTAAAGCACCACGAGGGAACTCCCCCATGCTGACCAGCCTTCACTTGCCCTCCGTTTTCTCAGTCAACTTGGGGTTTACGTAAAGCAAGTTTTATGCAGCGTGTGAACCAATGGGCCCCGGCTATTCAAGAGGGATTTGGAAACTGCTAGCCGAGTATGGTTTACGTCGGTGGCGTGCGCCCAGCAGCAACAGCCTGGTTGTCGGCCCCTGATCCCCGCGAGCCTGGTCAGGCAGGTTCGCGGGGGCTTTGATCCTGGATAATCCCCCAAGTTACACCACTAGCGGGTTTTAAAACGACGTGCAGCTATTACTTTTTCTGGGTATGTTTAGTAACGGTTGGTAGTGGGGTTGATTATTTTTATGTAATTAGTATTGTTGTACACAACAAAGTGTTGTGTAACCAATTTTGATAATGAAAAGACTCGAGTCGTTTATTATGTTGTCCGCTACAAGCAGCAATAGTTGAGTGTGCTCATGTACGATAGAGCAGCGTCATAAATTGATTATCTATAGTCTACGCCACACACATATTTCTTAACTTCTTTTTTTAAATAGCAATGTCTGAAATGGTGTTAACGTGTTTATATCCTCTTATTACCGCAGAATATTGTATTAAATTTGTCTTAATTTGTGTATTGAATGGCAAATATACATCCTCGATATACCTTTTAAATGATACTCACTTCCAGCATCAAACGTAAGAACATAAGATAGGCATATTAAGGAAGAATATAAATAAGAATCCCACATTGGTCGCAAAGGAAAAGTATGTAGTAATTGTGTTATGGCAGCAGCAGCTGTGAGTATTGGAGGGACCGGTGTGGGTGTCTAGGTGATGTGGCCCAACACTCGCTGCTCGGGCCTCGACCAGGATACTTGCTCTCCTTCCTTCCTACCTCAACTCCTCTACACTATTGGAACCTTATAATCCTGCTTCGTCTTGTGTGCTATTGGTTTTTCATATTATAGAAAATAACTGCCACCGTGTAGAATCGGGAAAGAATGTGGTGGCTGTCGATGGTAGTGGGGCGACTTGTACACTAGAATAGGTGTGATTAAACTATCGACAGGCGTCGTTGAGAACTGCCTGCACCGCCTTTTGTTGTAGTGTGTTGGTGTCTTAATATTACATCTACTCCAGCAACCAAAAATCACTCAGACGAGGTAATATAATATGACTACTTGCAATGCACAGCGATGAGCTGTATTTGGCACCTTCCATGCACGCATGCACTTCACGTTAATGCTTCAGGCAAACAACGTTTATTTCAACCGTGATGAAGATGTAAAGTACAGGGTTTAGTTGATAAGATGGAGATTGTGTGTTCCGGCAACAACTATTGATTAAGTCAGTTGAGGAGTGAAGGGAGGGAGGACTGAGTGTTCACGTGGCAGTGGACATTCTTTCTTGCCAATACTACATGCACTCACTACGTACCTGTTTCCTCTGTAATTTATACGTACCATATATCAACAGTTATCATAACGTTAACTTTCTTAGAAATTACATTTAGCTGACAATATTATTGGTTATTTTTTCTGAAAGGAAGATAATCGTAATTTTAAATATTTGAAGTCGACATCGAATTCCTTTTAAAGAACTAATGCTTGGAAATAAATTGTAGACGTGCAAATATAATTCAAGTAAGATAGTGTAAAACACTGTGTGTTGTGAGGCGCTGCCTTGGTTACCCTTAGCACCCAACAGCTACACATTCCCAGCTGCACAAACTATGCCACTTAAACAAGGCATTCTCCACTTGCGTGAAATAAATTTGTTTATCATGTTTATATTTTACTTGCATATAATCTCTCGGGAATCTGGTGGTTACGTGGAAATCGTAGTCTTATTATAAACAGTAGAACCAACGATATTACCTATTTTTTTTTTTTTTTTTTTTTTTTTTGACGTTTCGAGACTTTGTTCTCATCTTCAGGTTTTCTAAAATGAAATAAAACACAAAATTACGAAAGTGTAAAAAAAAAAATTAAGAAATTTCTTTGAGTCATTTAAAATTGCATAATTCAAAAAAATAATTTGGCATTAATTAACAACGCACAAGCTCGCAGAAGTTTAAGTTAAGCTTCACTTGGTTGTTATAGAGACCTGTGATTTTCATCTCTCTGAAGGGCAGTTGTCCATTCCCATCCTCCTGGAAAGGCTCGGATAAATTTCCAAAGCCCTGTATCGTAGCTTTAAACCTTCAAAAACTGCATTAAAAATCGATGGAGAGTGAAGCAAGCTTTCAAAAGACATTGTAGCTCACAAAAGTCTACTGAAAGACAATAGACAAAACGAAACTGGTACTGAACGCATACCCCGATCTAGGAGCAAGAACAATACATCCTGGAAACCTCTCGGACTAACAAACTTTCCAAACACAACAATGAATGATTCTTGTTACAGCCAACTAAACCCGAGACATACCTAAATGAATTAAACTCCTACACTAGCACTACTCATTTTTCACGTATACTAAGACTTGTACTGCAGTCCTCTCGAAAGAAGGATGTGCATTGTCAGTCAACAGTGCATTCTAAGCCAGGCACATAATGCTTATGTACACTATCAAGAGAATTCCAGTGACAGTCCACCGATATTACATTCTAAATTCATGCAGAGGAACTGTCATCTCTCACGCGATCATGCAGCCAAATTTCACAGCGTGTGCCCTAGCCATAAAATATTAAAATTTTAGCATCTCCAAATATCTCCTCTCCTCCAGTATACATGGGAGTCAGTGGTTGTCGGTGAGGAAGTTCAAAACATCCCTATAACAATGCCGCAGATACTGGCTCTGTCCTCAGAGCAAAACACTGCAGATCTTCAGTGGAATGCCCAATCTGTGGAGCCATAAAGCACAATGATCCACATTGCTAAAACCATCCTTCCCGCCTTAACTGTAAGGATTTTCATCTCTTATTCTCGCTGGTGCCCCATTTTTTCCTCGGGAAACTGAAATCTCCGGTTTGAGAAAGATGGAATGTTTGTCGTATCTGGCAGTTTCCCCAGTTTTAGTAGCAGGGTAGATGACCTCGCATCTCCTCCAGAGTCTCCCCGCACGCCCAACGCCCAGTAGTGTTTTCCTATGCTTTCACTCCATCCCTTGTGTAGTTCATAGCAATGAAGTATCCAGCTTCAGCACTTGGCATAGTTACTGCTCCACAACCAACCTAATCCGCTTTGACTGTCCCTTCGACACTTTTACCCAACCCCAAAGACACCCACAAGCTACTACCATTGGGCCACACACCAGCACCATCGTCCCCTCTCAAACATCCTTCAACCCAATATCTAACATTTTATTGAATTGCCACAGAAGAATTATTTACTTAAATCTTCCCGAACACAATAAATTGTACTTGCCTTTACATCCGCCTACATCCCTTGAGCCGTCTAATCCTCTTAATCTTCTCTGCCGTTGAAGAGCTGTCATGAAAGTACCCTATCAACCCACTACCCTTACCCGTCCCACGTATTACTCCCCTTACCGTTTAGCGCTTTATTTGATTATAATAATTACTCCCCGTGCCACCTTCACACGAGTGGAGACTCTGGAGGACATAACTGCAGATCTTTGAGACGGCCAAAAATGGATCTCGATAAACCCGCCTTCAAACGAGGAACACTCCAGGGCCTTCATCCAAATCAAAACACAAGCATACCTCACAACTCTCACTACAACCCAGTCATTCCATCGGCCTGGTGATATACCACTCGTAATGCCGATGTTTCACCGGTTCCTTCATGTTTATCCTATTACTACTCGAAATGCCTACACCACCAACTGCAAATCTCTTATCACTCAAATGCCTCTACCATCTTACATCTACTGTACCGACCATTCCTGCCTAAAACTATTTGCTTATATTTAACACTGTATTACTATTAAGTAATATCAGTTTTACAATGGAATATTTAAAGAATACAGGAGAGTCGAAGAGAATTGCATGTGTTGGCTTCCCAGTTTTCCCAATGTGTGTTTTGTATCTTGAGAATAAACGTAATGTTGGATTCCCTATAGTTTGTTACATTCACCAGATCTCCGTCCAGATGAATCGTGCAATGAAAGCTCACTCTTTGTATACCTGAAGAAGGTTTCGGGGATCAACGTCCCCGCCGCCCGATCTGTGACCAGGCCTCGTGGTGGATCAGGACCTGATCAACCAGGTTGTTACTGCTGGCCGCACATAAAACGACGTGCGAACCACAGCCCGACTGATCAAGTACTGACTTTAGGTGCTTGTGTTTAACGCTTCTTTTTGACTGTAATAATTTAGGTGCCTCTCCAGTGTCTTCTTGAAGACAAACAGGGGTCTATTGGTAATTCCCCTTATGTATGTTGGGAGGCAGTTGAACAATCTTGTGAGCAAAGTAACATTTATGAAGGGATTCAGGGAAACCGGCAGGCCGGACCTGAGTCCTGGAGATGGGAAATGCAGTGTCTATACTCTGAAGGAAGAGTGTTAATGTTGCAGTTTTATAACTGTAGTGTAAATGAGGCCTGGTCTCAGACCGGGCCGCGGGGGCGTTGACCCCCGAAACCCACTCCAGGTAAACTCCTGCCGAGTCTTTTGCTATCGTAGGGAGTGATTTTCGTGTTCAAGTTTGGTACTAATCCCTTTAGGATTTTCCAAGTGTACATTATCATGTATCTTTCTCGCTTGCGTTCTAGGGAATACAAATAAAGGGACTTCAGTCGTTCCCAGTAATTTAGGTGTTTTATCGTATTTGTATGTGCCGTGAAGGTTCTCTGTACATTCTCTAGGTCAGCAGTTTCGCCTGTCTTGAAGGGGGCAGTTAGTGTACAACAGTATTCCAGCCTAGAGAGAACGAGCGATTTGAAGAGAATCGTGAGGTTGGCGTCCCTAGTTTTGAAGGTTCTCATTATCTTTCCTATTACTTTTCTAGCAGATAAGGTAGATACATTGTATTATCTTGGAAGGTGAGATCCTCTGACATTATCATTCCCAGGTCCTTCACATTAGTTTTTCTCTATTGTGTGGTTAGAATTTGTATTTATTCCGATAGTTTAAATTTCCTCAAGTTTTCCTTATCTGATTAGCTGAAATTTCTCTTCAATGAACATCATATTGTTTTCTGCGGCCCATTTAAAGATTTGGTTGATGTCAGCTTGGAGTCCTGCAATGTCTTCGATGGAGGACAATGATATTCTGTACTCTAACATTTTATTGATGCTACTCTTCGTGTCGAAGTCAACGCATATTTAGACAATTGTTACACGATCTGCAATTTGTAACTCTTTACGACCGTGCAATCTCGGCTCTCATCCTTACCTCCCTTACTTCTTTTATAAGGTGATTTTAACTTCTTTATTTGCACTGACAATTGATCATATTGTGACTCCGGCAAAAGTCATTTGCAGCCTTTTCTGCCCCTTCCCCCTATCCTGTCTGCTTATCTTGAACAGTGGTATTCTGACGCATCAAGATCTGAGAGCCCATAACCTCTCGTGTATCGATCTCTCTGTATACTTTTTTTCCAAAGCCTTAGAATTCGTTAGGCAGTGGCAGTTCATCAGTGCAAATTAAAGTCTTCATAACTTCATTATGATCCTCCTTGTCATGCACCTACAGTGAGCTATTACACGTCCTCATCAACGGTCTTGTCTGCAGCTGCTCTCGCCAACCCTCGAAAGTGAGACAAAACCGTTTTTAGAAATGTATCCGGGAGGTCTCCCGAAAGCGCTCATACTGTTGACTAAAGCTCATGGCTCGAGGCCACTAACATTATAATCACATCATGGACTGCGTCCTAGCCTACAAACAAATGAGAGCGCACGTACTTCAAGCAACAGGACTCTTGCTGGCAAGTTTGTATCCACTACAAGCCACTCCATTTCAATCTGTACAGCCTAGAAAAAAGTACTAAAGTTAGCAGACAAATACACCTGACCCTTCATCAGTCCTTAAAATTTTGGGCGAAAGTGGCAGACCTTGATGAAATTTCCCAAAATAATTTGGCAAATTTTGTTCCTGTTTGTACTAGGCCTTTACCCCGTCCCCTGATATCCTTGAGTTCAAACACAAGTGGGAGTCCGTTCTACTGAACTTCAGATCTGATATCGATGAACCTCACAGTGCTCCCCATTTCTCTTGGAGAACAAACATCCAACACAGTTTGAGTCACGACCTGTGGCAGC